GCTTCTCTGGGCAACCTGTGCCAGGGCCTCACCATCCTCACAGCCAACAATTTCTTCCCAATATCCTACCTAACCCTGCCCTCCTTCAGCTTAAAGCCATTCCCCCTTGTCCTGTCCCTCCATCCCTTGTCCCCAGTCCCTCTCCAGCTCTCCTGGAGCCCCTTTAGGCCCTGCAAGGGGCTCTCAGCTCTCCCTGGAGCCTTCTCTCCTCCAGGTGAACCCCCCCAGCTCTCCCAGCCTGGCTCCAGAGCAGAGGAGCTCCAGCCCTTGGAGCATCTCTGTGGCCTCCTCTGGACTCACTTCAATAGGTCCATGTCTTTTTTGACATTGGGAAGAGATGAAGATGACAAATGTGCTCTTCTGCACAAATATTGAGTAGTTCCACAACATTCCCCATGGCACCAGCCCCCTGGGAGCAGCAGGGAACTGCTTTTGTCCCACCCCCCATAACAGAGATGTTCTCACCCAACTCCAACTTCACACTTCGATCACGAAACGCTTCGTTTTCACTCTCCCACAGCCCCTGAAATATCCCAGCCACTGCTCTGGCAGCACAACAACAGGCAGGGAGGGGAAGTGCCGCTGCCTCTGCTCTCACCTTGGCCTGGTTGGAGCAGTCATAGCGCATCCTCTGCCTGTTCTTGTTCATCTTGTTCATCAGCATCTTTCCCGTGCGGAAGTCGAAGGTGCCCAGGTCCATGGAGCTGCCCAGGTACCGGGCCAGCTGCGGCTTGCTCCGGAACTTCTTCCCACTGGGGCTGGAAAAAACAACCCAGGAGAGAAACGTAAACCCTCTGGATTCCAAGCCCAGCACTCCCTACAGCTCAGCAGAGGCAATTCCTCTTTCCTTCCCGAAAAACGGGTGCTGATTTTCCAAGGACGGAGCTCACGTGAAACTCTAAATGGATATTTCTGCTGTCATATTACCTGCTTTTCATGTGCAAGAGGCAAATTAAGTGCAGACCATGGTAAAATGTTGTTATATATTAAGAGGAAGGTTCAGATCCCATCAAAGAATGTGGCACAATTCACACAATAACCAACGTGGGTGATCTCATTACAGAAGAACTTCTCACTCAGTTGTCTCAGATAACAAATACCTGTTTTCAAGCATAATTTCTTCTCCCAGGAATGTCCCATTTGACCAGCACCACAAACATCTCCTCATCTCCTCTCCCTCCCCCCTGAGCAGCACATTCAGGTTTAAACACAATGCTCTGGTTGCATCCTGAACACTTCAGGATTGCCCAGAAGCAGGGGGAAAACCAGAAGGTAGCTGCTGACAAGCTGCAGAACAACAAATTACAAAGCTTAAGTGATGCAAAGATAAAGGTCAAAACCTTGGAAAATTTTCCATTACTGGCAAAAGGGAAGAGAGAGATTCCTTTTACATACCTGGGTTCCCATGAAAGACTCATCCTGGAGACAAACACTTTGCTGGGGTTCTGGGGTTGGGGTTTTTTTTAATAATGTAACATTATAAACTTTTTTTTTAATGCATAAAGCAAAATAAGTCAGTATGTTATGGCTGCAGTGTAGAACTCTACAGACAATAAGCACAAAGTATTCTTCATCTCACTGAGCAGCATAAAAACTCCTCTTCATTCCCCTGATTTCTCTCATTCTGGATTTCTCCACCTTTCAACTTGCACATCCAATCCTAGCACCCATCTAGGAGAAGCTCATTCCACGTAAATCCATTATATTATAACAGCTTAACAGGGTAAAAGGCATTTTAAGATCAAAAATGCCAGTTACCACCTTACCTCCTGCTGGTGAGATACTGAAAACCTCGCCAGGGTCTTCTCAACAACAACAACAACAACAAAAGATCAAAGGAAAAGTCTATTTTCACATATTATCTGCTGCCCTGAAGCTTTTATTAGGGGAAAAACAGCGTAAGAAGAGAATTTCTAGCAGGGGACAGTGGCAAAGGAATTAGTGCAAGTCAGACTGTACACAAAACAAATAAATTAAAATAAACAAAAGCACAACCAAAGGATCAAAAGCTCTCCCAGAAACTGAGGCAAGGTTAAAAGGAATTCTACTAAAACTGAAATAGCCCCTCAAAGGAGTTAAAACTTAAAGATTGTGGTCATGCCACACAGCATCTGCTTAAGAAGCTCCTGGCTCTGATTGCTCCCAAGCTGCTTATCCTGCCTGGATCTCCTCCTTGCCACCACCACCACTGCTCAAACAGCAAAGTGTTCATGCAAATGAGCCAGCTGGGGAAAATAATCCATCTTTGGAGGGCAGGGAGAGGGGGAGCAAACACTCCATCACTGGTTATTCCTCAGCTGGAATAACTGTGGAGCTGCACCGACACTCTGGCCAGAAGACAACACAGAGTAGGATAAGCACCCAGGAACAGAGCCTGAGTCCAGCCCCAAATTTGTAAATCACTTTTTAGGACCATAAAGGGAGTTTTTTTGCCTCGATCCAGAGAGAGGAATAACCAACTCCAACAGCTTTAGGGCAGAGCTGTGGGTGAAGCCGGGAAGAGAAACTCCTCCTGTGTGAAGAACATGGCATTGCTTCCTCTTCCAAGATCTGCTGCTCCAATTTAGGGTTTAGTTGTCTTTGCAATTTTAAAAATAACGGATTTAAGTGCAGAGTAACTTTCAGAACAATCAGATACACTCAGAGACAGGATTTTAAACAGAGCCCTTTGGGTTCGTGTGGTTTTGCTGTGTTCATTTTGCACTGGAACTGAAAAGCTGCTCAAAGTCCACAAACGTCTCAGAAAACCCACCTGAAATGACTGAGAGTCCTGTCTCTTCCTGGGGAAGCTTGGCCCAAAGGAAAAGCACTGAAACGGGCAGAAGAAAAACTTTTATTGGGATTAGGTCTTGCAAAAGGCAGGATCACCCCAGGCTGCTCTGGGACGACGGCACATCAGGGGCAAAGCTACACCTCAAAGGTGACTGAGCACAGAAAGGAGGGGCTGGGGTGCTCTGGGGACCCTCTGGCAGGGGCATGCAGGACATTGGGGGCACCTCCACACACCTGAGAGGCTGAAAGTGTGGGGGGAAGCCCAAACAATCCCGAACTCGAGCAGCAGCACTGCCTGCTGCTCACAACACACAGAAACTGCCCCCCAGCATTTCACGACTCTGAGCACTGCTGAAGTGCCTCTGTGCCCTTTAAATGTCACAAAACACAGGATTTACCTCCTTCCACCCCAGAGCAAAGGCTTTGCCCTGCACTCCTGGCTTGGAGACACAAAGACTTTAAAGAGGCCCAGGAAGGAGACATTTTGGTACAAAGCTGCAAAACCCAAACTCTCTCAGCAACAAACCCTGCAGGCACCGAAGCTGCGAGGCCAAACTGATCCCGGGGTCCCAAATTAGGGTCTGTCACACTTCCCCAAGGCTGAAAGGCAAGGGCAAGCAAAGTTGCAAAGGATTTTACATGCTCGTCCATCAACAGCTCCGAGGCTTTATCTGCCCCTGGCTCCCACCACCAACACTGACCTGGGCACTGGGACCGAGCCCGAGCCACCCCCACCCCTCATTCCCGGACTTTTCCGTGCGGATTAAGCCGCCTTCGGGGCAGGCTATGGAAGGGCCAGGCCTGCCAGGTGCCCCTGCTCTCCATGTGCAGCTCGCCCTTTGTTTCCTGCCTTATATCCTTAAGGAGAGAGCGGCTGCCAGCCCAGGCCCTCTCCCCTCCTCCCTCCTCACACGAGTCTCCTCCCCTCCGCTCTCCCATTTAGCCTGCACAGGATCTGCACAACTTGGGAAGCGAGGGACAAAAGACAAAAAAAAAAAAACCAAACACAAACCCTGAGCCAGCCCAGCCACCGCCTGCCTTGGGAAGAAATGGAGACAGGAATAACCCGGGGAAACGGGTGATGGAGAGCACACACCCAGAGCCTCTTTTACCCGCTGGGGGGGCGATGGGGAGAACACAAAGTGATTTTCCTTCTCCTTTTCCGTGTGCTCCCTCCTCTCACTTCTCCCCCCAGCCCTGCTCCAGGCCAAGCCCGGCGCTGGGGGCCCTTGGGGGGCTGCAGGACCCCTGACTCTGCTCCCAGGGAGATGGGGATCCCGGGACACTGCCCACCCTGGCACTGTCAGCATCCCTCTTACAGCATCACCGCATTATCCCGGGATGAAGCATCGACACCCAGCCCTGCCCTGGCAGTCCCACACTCCAGCTGGGTTCTGCTGGGCTGGGATGGGCTGGCCCAGACACAGAAACACTGATGGGAACAAGCCAGACCAAGCTGGGTGACTCCTGCAGCTGCCACAACCCACCCCACTCCTTCACATCCAGCCCTGGGGACCCGACCTGTCCCTTCCCACCAGGGCTGTTCCCAGCACCAGCATGGAGGGGATGGTGCTCCCTGCCCTGCAGGGCAATGGGGTGTCTTTGTTCAGCAGCTTGGGCTCCAACCACACCAAAAAACCCCAAAACGAAGAACTTGGATACACAAAACCTTCCAAATCTCCAGAAGCACCACACCCCTACACGAGAGCCCGAGTGGTAACACCGTAACTCAGGACTGAGCACAAACAGCAGCAGATGTTCTTAAAAGGCTCAACTCCAGCATCATGGAATCATGGAATTGTAAAGGATGGAAAAGACCTTTAAGATTGAGTGCAATCATCAGCCCAGCACCGCCACCATCACTGACCCACATCTCCAAGTGCCACAACCACATGTTTTATGAACACTTCCAGGCACGGTGACTCCGCCACTGCCCTGGGCAGCCTCTTCCAGTGCTTGAGAACCCCTTCCATGAAAATAAATTCCCTAATACCTAATCTAAACCTCCCCCGGTGTAACTTGAGGCCGATCCCCTCTCATGAGAGAAACCATTAGAGCTTCCCTGTGGGCAAAGCAGAACAGAGGAAAAGCAAAGCACAAACTCAGGAGAAGCATTCTCCTCTATAGGTTTTTTTGGGGAGAAAAAAGTGTATTGATCAAAACATCCTTGGGGGAGTGTTAAAAATGTTTTCTTCCAACTTTTTACATTAGTGCTGCAAATTAAGACATTCTCAACTAACTTAAGTTTCACACAAGAGATCTGTGAAGTTTTTCCCAGCACAGCAATTTCAACAACTTAAAGCAGAGACGAGCAGAGATCCCAAATTTCTGACATTTGGTCCTCAAACTTTCTGCAGAAAAACACTCTGAAGAAAAGCCCCACGAAGCAGCACTAAATTCTCCTTTCCCTGGGTGAGAACCCTGACTCTGAAGAGAGCTTTTGTAGCCAAAACTCCCTCAAAGACAACCTGCCACTTTCACAAAATCCCTGATACACTTCCCTTCCTGAAATCCTGCATCCCAGCACCTTTCCTGCTTGCTCCAAATCTGGCCCACAAGCCCCACCACATCAGCCAGAAACCTTCCTAAACCTGAGGTTTGAGGATTGGTTTCAAAACCTGCCCAGGTACTTACACCTTGAGGAAGGTTTGATTTCCAGCCAGAGACTGGCTCACACACACATCTTGCAGGGAATTTTCGACAAGCCCTCACTGCATCTGTACATCCAGAGGAGCTGGACAGAAAAATCACCCAGGTAAGCAACAGGCAGAACTAGCAGAGGTATTAAAGAACCACCACACCTGTATTTGCCACTCTGAGGTAATGCAAAATGCAGCAGTAACCAAAAATTAGTGGAACGAAGCCCTGTTCTACCTTTGATCTCTGTCCAAATTGATATAAAGGGACAACCCATTATAATTCGGGAATAAAAACATGCTGCTTATCCTCTCTCCCCCTTTTTTAAAAGTTCAGCTCCCATTCTGTAACTTTACAAGTAAGTTCTGGGGAAAAAAATGGGATCTTTGAAGCTTTCAGCCGCTGCTGGTGGTCTCGTCCTCCCCTCGCCCTCCAAGCAGAGTTGGCACTTTCAGCTTTCTGCTCTCAAGGATGGTATTTTCTGGTTCACTCACTGCTCTTCTCACAACCTGATTCTAAGAGCAAAACCTAAGGCTGTGGCTGCCCCGTCCCTGGAAGTGTCCAAGGCCACGTCGGATGAGACCTGGGGCAACCTGGGCTAGTGGAAGGTGCCCCTGCCCACGGCAGGGGGTGGGACTGGATGGGCTTTAAGGTCGCTCCCAACCCAAACCACTCGGCGATGATTCCATGACAGATGCTTTAAGCTGATGGTCTGTATTTTCCCGACAAGCAGGGCCAAGTGAGGACGCAGGGATAACTCCCCTGCTCTCCCCAGCTCCCGAAGGACCCGAGTTCCGCAGCTCAGCCCTCGTGGGTGCGGGGAGGATCCATACGGCCACCTACGGCCATATGAGCCATAGAAGCCGTACGGGGATGATATAAATAGCAAACCTGCAGCTCGCGGGCCATGTGCTCCCCCACAGCCACGCTCCCGGGAAGGCGCATCCCGAGCCTGCCCGGGGCTCCCCCACCAGCGCGGGCTCCCTCCGACCCCCCCCAAAATCCCTAAATGCACCCAAAGAGCAACAGAGAGAGCGAGAAACGACACCCCGGCTGCTCGCAAACACCTTAATTCATTCGAGAATACACAAAACCCCAACGCGGTTTGCAGGGATGAGCCGCCCCGAGGGGACGCGGGGGCTCCCCCCCGACGGGCGGCACCGCGGGCGGGGGGCTGAGCATCCCGGGGCAGGGCCCGGACCCCTCCACCTGTGGCTGCAGCCCCGGCGCGGCCCCCCCGGGCTCCCCCCGCGGCCTCAGCTCCCCCCCCGTGCCCGGGGCGGCCCCGCCGAGCGCTCCCACCTCTTCCGCTCCATGGCGGCTCTTCCCGGCCCGCTCCCGCCTGGCTCCGGCCGCCTCCCGCCGGCTCTTCCCGGCCGCCGCGCTCTCCTCCCGCCGCCGGCTCTTCCGGGCTCCCGCTGCCCCCGGGAGGCGGCGCCGCGGACCCGGCTCGTCCCGGTCCCACTCCTGATCCCAACCCAGTCCCGCTCCTGATCCCGATCCCGATCCCAAACCC